CTGCTTTTGTACAGCCGAGAACTGCTGGGCGAAGTTCTCGACCGCGTCGCCGAAGAGGCCGGTCTGGGACACGGGGGAGTTGAGGAACCGGAGCTTCTCAGCCTCCCTCATGTCTGCCAGACACAGCCAGAGATGGTGCTCCTGGACCACCAAGGTGGACATCGCACGACCCACTGACCGCGCGGTGACCGTCGCACGAAGCTTCCTGGAGAACTTGTGGATCATGACCACCCTCGTGCAGGTCCTTCAGTGCCTTGTCCTGATGGACCTGCAGCAACGCCATGGCGTGCATGGCAGAGGCAGCTTCCCCACAGGCCTTGTAAGCCTCGTCGAATAAGTCCGACGAGTACCTACAGGCCCGGGAAGGAAGACACGGTTCTCTGCACCGAGTGGAGTTAGGGCACAGCTGCATTGCAGCGGCCCGCTCCACCGGCGGGACACGCGTGTATCCCTTAGCTGCCCCGCCATCAAGGGTGATGAGGGAGGAGGAGCCCCTGGAACGGTTTCTGGCAGTAAAAGGTGCCGTCCACGTTCCCGTAAGCTCCTCATGCACTTCCGGGAAGAAAGGCACTGGGGTGGGTTGCTGAGAACGAGCGCGCGCCACCCCGAGATACCAATCGTCCAACCTCGAGGGTTCGGGACACGGTGGAGGATTCCACACGAGCCCGACCCCGTTGGCGGCCCGGGAAAGCATAGCCATCATCTCCGGGTCCGTCTCAGGCACCGCTGGCACCCCCGAAGGAGGCAGCAGTGCCGAGTCGTCGTCCGCAGAGAGGTCTGACCCACCCTCCGATGCAGCGATCAACATCTGGTCTTCACTGGGAGCCCCAAAGGAGACAACCGGTACACACCTCGAGGATGGTCCAGCTCTCTCCAATGGAGGCTCAACTGGCTGCGGAGCATGAGAGGGGTGAGGGCTCCTAGGGGGTTGGTTCCCCGAAGGAGACGCGCTCACCGTGATCCTCAGGTCACCCGCGCCACCGCCCGAAGAAACCCTCTGAGGAGGATTGGATCGAGGCCCCTTTGCAGGAACAAGAGTCTCGACCGTAGCTCCGCGATGGTCATCTTCCCACAATGGCAAGGCAAGGCAAGGCAAGGCAAGGCAAGGCAAGGCAAGGCAAGGCAAGGCAAGGCAAGGCAAGTTTATTTATATAGCACATTTCATACACAATGGTAATTCAAGGTGCTTTACATAGAAAAATCAAAAGAAATAGGAATAATTAAAACAGTTAAGAATAAAGAGATTAAAATAATCAAAAGAAATAAGAATAATTAAAACAGTTTAGAATAAAAAATTAAATAAAATACAGTACAAACAATGGGTACATGACTCATCCACAAACGCTGCCTCAGCGTGTTTAATGCCCAGACACACGAGGCAGCGCTTGTGACCATCCTGTGAGCCCAGGTACTGACCGCATCCAGAAACACACAGATAGAAAGACATCTTTAAAAAGACGCTCTCTATCTGTGTAAGCTCTTTTAGGGACTCCTCTCACTGGTGCTGAAGCACGCAGGGGAACAGTCACTGCGAACACAGACGGGAATGTGCACCCGTCTGCGCGCTGTCTCTCTCTCTCGCTGGCAGGTCTTACCGGCTGTAAGAACAGCCTTTGAGCGCTGAACTGCGCACCTTACCAGCTGTTAAAAAAGCTTTTTTGAATTTGCTCAAAAAAACAAAACAAAAAAGATAGACAGAAGAGAGAGGACACAAGACTGCTCGCGCTGCCGTGCTGTAACGCCCGCACCGAACAAGGAGAGATCCAACGAAGGCTTGCCAAGTTTTCACACTCTGTAGGATTACCATGAAGCGTTTGGCTTCGAAGCAAAAAGCTAGTGTGCAATCATAGCAGCTGCTGTTAAATATCCGCACTGCGAGGCTGCACAGCTGTTGCAAATGATTGCATGCCAATGTGCATTGGCTTGTTTAGTTTCACTCGAAGTAGATTGGCCTCTCTAGCGAGATTCCTATTGGTCAGTCTGACCTACGTTGTAGTGACTGACCGATAGGGAACTGATAATTTCATGTTGTTCTCATAGCTGGTGAAAACTGTCTTTCTTTACAGACATTTTCAGTATGTGTCAGATAACAAGGTTTATAACAAGTTAAAAAAGTTGTATTTCCTGGAACCACCTCAGTTATCATAAGAGTCACGTCAGCCATGTTAAGGTTACACACGGTTTCACTTTTAAAGCATAGTAATGTCCAAATGGTGGCAAACACAATTTTATTTAAATCTCATATCTCAGCACAGAGGGATCATTGAGGAGGAAGCATTAAGGTAACTGGGAAAATACAGTAATTTTTAATAGCAAAGTGTAACATTGTAAATCATCTTAAGATAAATATGTGCCATGTTTTCAGCATGTGATATCAGCTAGTCAAAAATGAATTTTAAAAAATCATCTTTTCTTTTTAATACTAGAAACTGTAACACTTAAGACAAAGATGGATACCAAATAACATCAGATTTATTACAAAGTCAGAATGTAAGGCCATCATGCGAAACAGCGTGCAAACACATCACATGAACAATATCAGACACTGAACAGAACACAGGCAGGAACTTATACACAGAGATGATTAACTAAAAGACGAACTATGATGATTGGTGTTAGTGTCCACGGTGACCGATGAGTAGTGGGAAATTAGAACAATGAACACACGTGATGAATGTAAACCAAGCAGAAAGTACAAGAACCTGAAAACAAACTGAACAAGACTGACATAATCATGTTGTCAGTCTGTACATCAATTTGTTGCTCAACCCAAAAATCTAATACATCATGGCTTCCCTCAGGAATTGATGAGGTATTGGTTTATCAATAACATAACATAAAATAAAAATTATGCTTTTTTATGATCATTAACCTTGTAACGATTATACGCACGTATAAATATAATTAATTATTATTCATAACGGATTATGATCAATAATTAATAATTGAATTATTTTCAGAATTTACTGTAGCAAAATCAATAGTATGATCAGTTTATCAGTTCATCCCATGAACGGAAAGCATAAACAATTATTAATTCTAGGAAATATAATATCTTCTTGGCCAAGAAAGACTAATTGCAGCTAACAGCTAAATTAAGAAATAAATCAAGGGTCAAAGCATAGGTAACTTAGATCGAAGTTCAAGACAATAAATCTGTAAGCACATAACACAAGTAATGCTTCTCTTTTCAAATACAAACAATACTTTATTGATTATAAGCCTATGACTAACACACATAAAACTAATATAACACAAACACACGCACACGCATTCATACAAGTTGAAGAAAGACAGAGAGTGAGGAAGAATGAGTTTTAGGAGTTAGATGGTGAGATCCCAAGTTTCTATATGCACTTAAAAGACATGACCTGAACGAACCATCAATAATTAATTTCACCCTTGTATCGTTTCTTAGGCGGGTAATTCAATTTGATATTAAAATGCACCTGCAGTTTCAGCTAAAAGTCTGGAGGTACTTGCTTGTCCTTGCGTTGCTTTTGGGGATTCCCTTTTTACGGTGTGAAGGTGTTCCCCGGGTCCTTTGGCTGGCGGTCTCCTCGTGCTTGCTAGATCTTGGGCAGCCATTCACGTGGTGTGTTGGCGGATGGATGAAAGTCTTTGAAGTTGGAAGCGTGTTGCAGTCGAAACGTTTTAAACGAAACTTTGCAGCAAAACCTAACTTAGAACCGAGACTTTTAACGGAAAAGAAACAAACTAAGAAAAGAAAGAAAAGTGTGACGAGATGGCTTGCATTAAATCTGTTTTAACCCATATCTTGATTTGGGTCATTTGTCTCTGCGTCTACATGGTTACTATAACCATCGTCGGCCCCACCCGGCTTGTTCTGCCGAAAGGGAGCATCACAAGAGCATCACAAGAGAGCATCACAAGAGAGCCTCACAAGAGCATAACCCCCCCCCCCCCCTTTTCTCTCATCGCGTATCATGTGTTCTCTGTGGTCTGCTTACTCATCCGCTCGAAACAGAGGATTCAGTTTAGACATAATTTCCATTTTAAGAACATAAACATTTTTACACAGATTTCAATCGAGCCATCTTTTGAATTAAAAACATACGAGCATAATGATAGGAAACACGACACTTTCATTCCAGTATCTCTAATATTCAAAACAATTACATGACTTAGATGTGATCTAAGCAGAATAGACACATACAGGGGTTGTAAACACAATATATAATTATGTTATGTTACATGATTTTGATTATGGGTCAGTCAAGAATTGTTCTGGGATGAGTTTTATTGGTATTGGAGAATTGGAGGAAAGTCCTTATGTGTGTGTGTGTGTGTGTATCCTTATGGTCAGCATTTGTCTCATCCGTGGTGTTTACCACGTGAGGGTTTAGTTCGCAAATGGCTGTCTTCAAGACAAAGGGTATTTTGTATGCAAGTCCACTTTTTCAGCCTTAAGGAGACATAATAATTGATGAGGGGGGGGGGGAAAGTTAGCTCGAGACCCTGAATGGTTCAGTCTGTTTAGTCGCAGGGGTCAGGTGACTTCTTGTTAGGGCCTCTTGTTTCACCATTTCTGAACAGATCTGTTCTTGCCAAATTATAAAACATTGACAACGTCCTTCCTTTAGTTAAACAACAAAAGGTCTTCTTGCTTCATAGCCTGGGGATAATCTGGAATATGCAGCCCCTTGTGTTTGATTATGTACGACAGCTTCACTTGTGTGGGTTTCATTCTCGTTGTCGATACAACCTAGAGTCAAAATATATATTTTTAAAACTCATGTATAAATTCACTTTATTAATACCATCTCTCTGTGGTTGTATTTCTCAGAATTTACTATACAAACATGACCTATTTTATAAGCATGAACTTTTCCAATAATACAATTTATGACATTAAAGGATAATATGCACAGATATTACACCGTTAAAAACACCAACAATTAAATGACTAAAACTATTGGTGAGTGCACTAATGGTTAAAAAGAATCCGCCTTTAAAAAAAAAAGAAACCCTTATGACACTTTGCCAGAATATAATTTGTCGGCTGTTTAAAAGACGTTTCTCCACTCATTAGTTTTGAGTGTTTTGTCTCATGACACTGACAAGGTTGATGTCACAGTTTCTTCAGATGCTGAAAATGAAATTGAATGTTTACTGAGTGTATAATGAATAATAAAAAAAGCAATCTTACTATAATTAATTTCATTTTATTCAGTGCTGTATATTTAAAAAAAAAAATTATTAAAATACGTACCAGAAGTAGTAGAATAGCCATTTTTAAAGGAATCTAAAACCCAACAAGACAATTGGTTGATTCACTGTTCAGTACTAAGCCTATATATGTGTAGTGTTTAGGCGTAGTACTGAACACACACACACATATATATATGTGGGGGGGGGGGTAATGTGCATGTGTGTGCGCGTGTCCTTGTAAACCCTGTGTTATGCAGACAAAATCACAAGGACAAAAATTTTGGATATTGACATTGTGTCCCCATGTGTGGACACGTGCACACACACACACACACACACACACACACACATTTTTTGGTCCCAATGAGCAAAACAGTTTATAAATCATACTAAGTATATATATATATCAGTTCTTGTCATACCTGCACATTGTCTTTTCCATGCAATTACAGCAGCTGCAGCTCCAAACACCATCATCAGAGCCAAAACCATCAGAACTGAAGGAATCACTGATTTAAATGGTTCCCCGTGATCATACTCTGAAACATGAATCACAGACTCAGAGATTAACTGTAATTATTTTTGTTGTGATTGTTAAATTACGTTTTCTGAAAAATCCTATTACTGTACCTAAAGTGATGTGCAGTTTGTTGTCCAGACTGAGGTGTGTGGCAGAGCAGCTGTATTTGTGCGTGTCTGCACTGATCTCCAGACTCTTCCTCATCTGGTACGTCCCGTCACCATTGGGCAGCAGATCTCCTCCAGTGATCTCATGATCAGATACAGGCTGTCCATCTCTGAACAGGGTCAGGTTGATGTGACGAGGGTAAAATCCTGTTGCCAGACAACTCACACGAAACCCTCCAGAATCTGAGTTTGCTTTCTGAATCAGTCTGACTCGCGGTTTCACTGTGGGAAAAAAGGTAACAGACATATATTATTATTATTATTATTTATATTGGCCTGAAAATTCTAAATGTAAAAGAGAACACAGTAATTTAGCTGGTCATTGTACCTTTTCTATTGACTTGATTTCTCCTTTTTTCAAGATACCCCTTGAGTGTTTTGATGCAGAATGGTTGGTATAAATGTTCATGATTCCACATGCTGATTTTAAGATGAATATTCAGCTCAAGAGCTGAGATGTTTAAATGACCCTGGTATGTGAAGTTCTTGTCAACATATCGCAACTCATCTGTGGTGGAGCCTCTGACAGCATCTCGTGTGATCATTTGTCCCGCTTCACCATCATCTCTCAGTTCACACACAACCAGCCTCTGAAGGGCAAGAACACCTTTAATGGAGAGATAAAGGTTTAAGGTAGTGTTTATTTTAAATCATAAAACAACAACAACAATCATAATTATTTATGATAATGATAATACTTTATTAATATTGCCTAAAATACTGCTTTTGTATTATTTATAGTAGGTTTCTATTAATATGTCAAGAGTTTTTGATTGTACTTACTATAAGTTTTATTTAAATTATTTGTTGCTACTACCCATTTTTCCATAAAAGATGATTGTATGTTGTCACTTATTCCGAGGAGAACATTTGAATCAAACATGTTGTCTTCAGTTGTTGTATTTCCTCTTGGAATGAGAGTCTTCGTCTCACCGTTATAGTACAGAACTCTGACATCATCCAACATCACTACATAGCTAAATTCAGGAAATGGTGTTTGTCCTTTTATGTATGTTGCATGCGTCCACAAAGAGTGAGAGCCTGTGAAAAATAACATAAAATGGATTGAATTGTTGGGAACATTTTACAATTCATAAATAAAATTATGTTTTTTTTTATCAATCTATAGTTGTTAGCCTGTGCTTTTTAGTTCTATATTTGTGACCTATTTTTATTTGATGTTTGGAATTAAATTGTTTCCCATATGTTTAATATGTTAATTTAATTAAGCAGGTTTTTTTAACTATATTTTTTATTTCTTTTCGATCTATATTCACAAGACTGTAAAAATACATTCCTTGACCTCTACTGAAAAGATAAAAGTTTTGCTTCCTCCCAAAGTTCTTTATGGAATTAACAGTTGCTATGCAACCAGGAAATTTTGAAGCCAAATATGTAAATATACTCTCAAGTTTTGTTTACTCAGTCTTCGTCTGACAAATGTACAAACAAATATGTATATTAAGTAGGCAGCACTAAAAAACAACGAAGACTCTTAACTCAGACAATCACTTGCTTAAAAATAACATAAAATATTAAAACCTCAAATGTTTATAAGCAATCTCACGTAGACTATTCATATGGTTTTGTTTTCATCCAAATTTCTTTATAAATACGCTTTTCAGACTTGCAATTGGCCACTGGAAGCACGTTGTTCTGTTTAGCTCTTGATCAACCATACTTTTCCACATTCCATATTTTTAACTAAAGTCAAATATTAAATATGTTTTTTGAAATCTTACCTTTTGGAGCAGCCATTGGAAGTGAAAGTAGAAAAATAATAATGTTGTCCATATTGCTGATACTGTATGCTGTCAGTCAGCGCTCACCTATAAATGATCAACACTGAAATAATCGACAGTTTTGCTCAACACTTGTGGGTAGTTAGAGAGTGTGTTCTCTGAACTTTTCAGCTGTTAATGTTTTGCTAGTCATGAAAAAATGTATGCTTCTGGAATCGACAACCTTTACACCATAAACAGGGCTTGACTTCCCCTTTCACATTTGTCTAAAACTTTTCTGACTAACAGACCACTGGTAGATTTTACTGACAGTTTAACAAAATATAGATTTCTACACTCATCTATTATTGCTTTGTGTCGAGACATTCACATTTTTTGGTGTTGTTTAAACATTTTCTTCAGATTTTACTTCAATGAATGTACAGTAAGAAAACGTCTCTGGTTACTGGTGTAACCTATGTACTTTGAATAGGGAACGAGACGCTGCGTAGCTTAAGACGCAGTGGGAACGCCCTCTGGGTGTGCCGATTGTCTGAAGCCCTTATAGAATCACGCCAATACATTGGCTGATGGCGGGGGCGCCGCCCCGACGCTCTTGCGTTGTCATATTATATCAGCGTGCGCGCGCCATCTGCTCCTCAGATTTCTCTGCCGAAAAAGGAAGCTTGTCGGCAGCGCAAGGAGCTTGGCAGCGAACGCAGCGTCTCGTTCCCTATTCAGAGAACATAGGTTACACCAGTAACCAGAGACGTTCTCTTTCATAGGTTCACTCAACGCTGCGTTGCTTAAGACGCAGTGGGAACGAAATACCAAACTCGCCAAGCTAAGCGCTGCCGTAACTAGTACAAAGACCAGATTACTCACACGACTGGTTCAAGCAGATAAAACTTGGGAACCTGGAGTCATGTCAAGATCCAAACTGTAGAATCTGACAAAAGTGTGCGGAGAGGACCAGCCTGCCGCTACACAAATGTCTTCCAGGAGGGCACCTCTAAAAAGTGCTTGAGAGGAAGCCACGCCTCTGGTGGAATGTGTCCTGATGCTAAGAGGTGAAGGCAGACCCCGCACCTCATATGCCAGTGAAATAGCCTCTGTAACCCAGTGGGAAATTCTCTGCTTTGATGCAGCAAGCCCGCGGCGGCCAGCACCAAAACATACCAAGAGCTGGTTGGATTTTCTCCAACCGCCAGAGCGATCCACGTATGACTTCAATGCTCGGACAGGGCAGAGCAAATTAAGCTTCTTGTCCTCCTCAGAGACAAAAGGAGGAGGATGGAAAGAGTGAAGGTTAATAACCTGAGACCGGAATGCTGTGGACAATACTTTGGGCACATATACCGGTTTCGGTCTCAAAGTCACCCTGACAAGACCAGGAGTGAAGTCTATACAAGTCTTGCTAACAGAAAGAGCTTGTAAATCTCCCACCCGCTTCAAAGAAGCCAAGGCTAACAAAAGAGTAACCTTGAGAGTCAGAATCCGCTCTGGAGCTGACTCTAAGGGCTCAAAGGGAGCTTCCGTTAAGCCCTCCAGGACGACCGACAGGTCCCAAGAGGGAATTCCAGGGGAGCGTACTGGTTTCAGGCGCCTAACCCCACACATAAATGCTGAGACTAACCTCAATTTACCTAGGGGGTTCTCATCCGACTCCCTATGAGCGGCAATAGCAGCAACATACACTCTCAGAGTAGTAGCGGCCGCTCCAGAAGCAAACTTCTCCTGTAGGAATTCCAGCACTGAACCGACTGGGCAGCTGACTGGGTCCGTAGCATGTGTCGAACACCACGACTCAAAAACCCTCCACTTGGAGGAATATAACCTTCTCGTGGAAGGGGCTCTTGCACTCGCAATGGTCTCCTGGACGTCAGCGGGAAGACCAAAGCTCAAAGCTAGCGGCCTCTGATGGGCCATACGCATAGCTTCCAAATTTCGGGGCGATGATGCCATATCCTGCCCTGAAGCTGGGACAGCAGATCCTCCCTGACCGGAATCTCCCAAGGGGGGAGTTCCAGAAGAGGGACCAGCTCCGAGAACCACGGCTGAGAGGGCCAGAATGGGGCTATAAGTAGAAGACGGGCTTCGCTCTCCCTCACTCTGGACAGAACTGCCTGGATCAACTTGACAGGCGGGAATGCATAAAGTTTCTGCATCGGCCATGGGTGGGCGAATGCATCTATCCCCAATGGTGCTGGGGGGCTCAGGGAGAACCAAAGTGGGCATTGGGACGACTCCTGTGATGCAAAGAGGTCCACCTCTGCTTTTCCGAACACTTCCCAAATCAGGGCAAACTGTTCGGCGGTTCAACATCCATTCCCCCGACTTGAGCTTCTGCCTCGACAGAAAATCTGCTGCGAGGTTCAGGATCCCAGGAACATGGACTGCCCTCAGTGACAGGAACTTGCCCTGAGACCACAGGAGAAGGTGGCACGCATGCCTGTCCAGGGTGCGCGACCGTGAACCCCCCTGTCGGTTTACATGAGACACTACCGCCATATTGTCTGTTCTGACAATGACATGGTGTCCTTCGAGAAAAGGGAGAAAGTGAAGAAGGGCCAGGGACACAGCTCTCAGCTCCAAGCTGTTTATGTGCCAAGAGAGAGTCTCTCCAGTCCAGACCCCACATGCTGGCCTGCCCTCGAAAACCGCACCCCAGCCGGTCAGAGAGGCGTCCGTCGTAACCATTTGGCGACGGAAAACTGCACCCATGTCGACCCCTTTCCGAAGGAAGAGAGGGTCCCGCCAAATTGAAAGGGCGCGGAAGCAACTGCGCGACACCTTCAACAGATGAAGAGCCGGTCCTGTGGACCGGGCACCTGAGAGTTTCATCCACCACAGAAATGGTCTCATGTGGAGCAACCCTAGGGGAAGCACAGGGGATGCTGAGGCCATGAGACCCAAAAGCCTGCGGCAAGTGCCCACAGAAACACGATGGCCGGGCGTGAAGCGAGCCAAACAACTCAAAAGACTGGAAACCCGGGCAGGAGCCAAACGGGGCTGCATCAGAACGGAATCCAGGCGCACCCCTAAGAAAACTGTGCTTTGAGTTGGGGTAAGAACACTCTTTCTCTGTGTTCAACCTCAAGCCGAGAGACTGAATGTGACAAAGGACAATGTCCCTGTGGTGAGTCACTAATTCCCTGGAGTGGACTAAAAGGAGCCAATCGTCCAGGTAGTTGAGTATACGGATGCCCTGGAGCCGCAACGGGGCCAGAGCAGCATCCATACACTTTGTGAACATTCTCAGCGCTAGAGCGAGACCAAAGGGAAGGACCCTGTACTGGTACGCCCTCTCTCCAAAGGCAAACCTGAGGAACCTCCTGTGTCGCCGTACGACCTGAATATGAAAATATGCATCCTTCAGGTCTACTGTCACGCACCAGTCCCCTGCTCGAATTTGAGATATGATAGCTTTCAGCGTCAACATCTTGAACTTCCCTTTGTTAAGGGAGAAATTTAGCCGGCGCAGCTCTAGTATAGGTCGCAGACCTCCGCCCTTTTTCGGGACCAAGAAGTAACGACTGAAGAAGCCTTGCTCGACTTCCTTCGGAGGAACCTCTTCTATTGCTCCCTTGAGGAGAAGGGACAAAATCTCCTGCTGTAGTACAGAAGCCTCTGGGGCGCTGTTGACTACAGTTGGAAAGACTCTGTTGAAGCAAGGGGGCGGGCGACAGAACTGAAGTGTGTAGCCGAGCCGAACCGTGCGGAGAATCCAAGGCGATACCCCTGGCAGACGCCTCCATTCTTGAAAGAAATGAGATAGAGGAAGAGGAGTGTTGCAATGTGGCGGACATACCTGTGTTAGGGTGACGCGCTGACTCCTGTGGGGTGGCGTGGTCCAACGTGAAGGAGGGCACTTGACGTCCTGACACATAGTGGGAGGTACCACTGCCTGTTTGATCAAGATCATACGGTCTGCCTGTTCCTGAGGAAAACCGAAAGTGTCTCCGAGGATGCGAGCGGCAGGTATCAAACGCGTCGGGGGCAAGGGGAGAAAGCTGAACGCGTCTCCATCCTCCTGCGCCAGACGGTTTGAACGAGGTCGAGTAGTAACTGCACTTCGAAACACGCTGGGTGGCGAAAGTGACAGGTTTAGAGAAGGAGAGCAAGTGAGAGGAGGGCAGAAACGCTTTCGCGGTCTGTCCCAACCTCGTAAATCGGGGGAAGCTCTCCTTTTTCTGACCTGCGGGTCAGGAACGATTCGAGGAGGCTGGAGCGAAGGGTTAGTTAGACCGCTTCAGCTCCAGGCGCTTATGAGGTCGCTGGCGGGGAAACGGGCGACCGCGGGCTCCCCAAACCGTAGCAGGTGGGGGATGAACCGAGTCACTTCTCCTAGCAGCAAAATCCGGCCTATGAGACGAACGTTCTCTGGGTTGAGCCGGGAAGGGGTTAGAGGATTCCCTAGCCCTCCTGGGCATAAACTGCCTGAGGGCAGCTGACTGGGATTTTGCGGCCCGAAACTTGTCAACCACAGTGTTAACCGCCTCCCCAAACAGTCCAGATTGAGAAACTGGGGCGTCCAAGAGGAAAACCTTCTCTTTGTCACGGATCTCCGTGAGATTGAGCCATAGGTGGCGCTCTGCAGCAATCGCCCCCGCCATAGAACGACCTATAGCGCATGCGGTGTGCTTGATGACTCTTAAGGCCAGATCCGTGGCCTTACTAAGCTCTTTGACAGCTTCTGGCGTAATTCCTGTTCCCTCGTCCATCTCCTTCAAGACGTCCGCCTGGTAGGCTTGGAGGATGGCCATAGTATGTAGGGCCATGCCTGCCTGACCAGCTGCCATGTAGGACTTTCTGATAAGGGCGGAAGTAGTCCTGCACGGTTTAGAAGGAAGGAGGGGGCGAGATTTCCACGACGGAGCAGAAGACGGAGAAAGGTGAGTAGCCAACGTGTCCTCAACCGCTGGAATAGCGGAATAGCCCTGCTCCACAGAACCAACGAGGTTGGTGAAGTCAGCGGCTGCCGCGTTTGTTAGTCGCGCGGAAAAAGGCTGCTTCCAGGATCTGGAGATCTCGTGATGCAGATCACTGAAAAAGGGCAGCTTTCTCCGCCCAGGCCTTGAATTAGGGCCACTTAAAAATCTCTCGTCGAGTTTAGACGATTGTGACTCACGGGGCTCGTCGGGCCAGTCGATAGAGAGCTTCTCTGTAGCGCGCGAAAGCACGTCGATAAGCTCCGTGTAGGCCGCAGTAGGCCGCGCCTCCTGGCCGCTAG